CAATGAATTGCGGTGGCCAGCCCATGTATAAAGCGGTGCTTTTATCCTCCCAGATGAGTAAGTGGAGCCAATTAACCGTCCCCGAAAGGATGGAAGACTGGGTCGGCCTAAGCAGATACTGTTCCGGGATTCGAACCCTTGACAGTACCTGTGTGATAGTGCGCCACTTTTCACCACACCCCTGAAGTGTGTTAAGGCATTCAATCCTTGGTGAAGTACTGTCTGGAGAGGGTTTTATGTTCAAAGCTCAATGGCTTGGTCAAATCGCCCATGGAATGCTATCGCCGTGAAAACCTCAAGAACCGTTTTTTTTTTTTGAAGATATAAGCACCCTTCACAGTAATTTATGTACTAGATCAACTTAACTAAGTCCTTCACATGGAAATTATAGATGGGGAAAAGGGCTGCTCTCTTTTTTCTGATCTCAGACGAGTGGTCAGGTACGAGGCCTGAGCTTACATAATGTGACCGTTCATCCGAGTTCAAGACATAGCCAAGACACTTCCAATTAACCGCTTTAACATTGACTCTTTGCAGTTAACCAGTTCGTACATATTTGTTTACGGGATTATCTTGCAGATGCTTCTTCCTAAAACGGGATGTGTGTTTCGCAGTCTATAGATAGTTTGTTTATCCTGTTGTTATGCCGTCAGTTATGGTGTAATCGGTGATCCGTCACGTACACGCGAGACGATCGTATCCCGATGGATGCAACAATCGGTGGTGACGAGAAATTTCGCGCGTACGACTCTATGACTGTCTGGATTGGCAGAAACAAGATAGGCGATTGCGGAGGCACGCGAAACCGTGGCTGAGAAATGGCGTCACCTGTGGAACAACAGGATAATTTATAGCCTTTTCACTGTAGCTGATGGCCTAGTAGAACAGACACCAGCGACATGCTTTTCAAGGTACAGGGTGAGCCCGGATTCTCAAGAAAACCAGGATACTCACTCAGAAGTAAACCAATTGCTCCAACCAGTGGTTCATTATGGAAAGCATGGTGCTGACGTTTAGTTTCTAGAGGTTTAGTTTCGGTGAAAATATACGCGAAGGGGGTATTCATTCCCGAAACCTTGTATGCACTATCTCAATGACACGATATTCCGCTGAGCAATCCCTCTTCCCTTTCAACCATCCATATCGCAGCAGTCAGCATTTCATTCACTCTGGTGCTCCCCTCTCCTTAAGCTGAGGTCAAAAACTCCATTCCCTTTCCTAGAATAACTTTTAGGTACCACACAGGCCCGCGATGCCAGGCACCTAACTCTCCTTTAGTCCTAACAATTGGCGTTGGAGCCGCAGAGTACTGTAAAGTAGCCCCCCTCCCGACTATGATACATTTCCATCTGGGAGTCTCTCTTACGACCTCTTTCTACTTTGGATAAATGCCGGAAATGCTCAAACAAAACTATCCCTCTTTTGTTCCCATCGGAGAAAATAGAGATATTCCAATACTTTTTGCAACTCGGCTTTTCAGTCACTGTAACAAAGTATCGTTTCTGAAAATTTCAGAAAGCCCTCGATTCATCTCCCTTTTCTCGTTAACACAATGGTTGTCTATGGCCACGGTAAATCTCATCCTGAAAAATTTCCTTCTAACCGGTTTTTCGGAAATAACGCGTCCACTGCAAATTTTCTCAAACTGTCGTATTGAGACCAAATGGCCTACGGACTACTTGAACTTGGTACCTCTGATTGTCGCGACCGTGCCTATTTTACCCTCGTCAGTCGCACTCCAATTTAATCCAATCTTTAACTACTGTGCTTGTCTGACTAAAGGGAACCCCATCACCTACTCCGTGTTCTTCTTCCAGGGTATTTTTCTCTGCGCTGTAACCTTTCGCTATCAGAGACGCAGAGATAATTCAAATAGTCGCGTAACCAGACCATATGCCATCCCATATTCCAGTTTAACAGGCTATTTTTTCATCTGTTTTCCTTCTAGAGAATGTTTTCTTCAATCACTATAATATCGCACTCTCAAAAAATTACTCCGCCAGATCTCTACTCCAACCAGCTTTTCTGAAGCTTAAGATCCATTCCTCAGACTGTTTGATGAAAGGCTGCTGATGATTCATCGTTCCTGTTTAGAATTCTTTAACCCACAGTCCAGTGCCATGTTTCCCATTTGGGAACATGTGAGCATTCGGTCTTCGGACAATTTTTGTCAAGGATCAACTCGAAGATCAAGGTACAAGTAAGAAAAGAAGTCAGCCGGTTGCCTTGCCCATAGTTTTTTATTTATGACACTGTTGCCGACACATAAAGAGGCCAATTCAAAGAGAAACCGAAATCAATATTTATTCATATTACATTTTCAATACGAGTACGAGTTTGATGAAAGTAAACAGCACAGAACAATCGTCACATGTGAACCAAGAGATCAATGTAGGGTTAAAAACTCTGCCCATCGAGTTCTATTAAAATGTGAACTGACAACAACGACGACCCTAGCATCAGAAAAAATAACCTTCGTGATTACTGGTCATTTGGCATTCTGTACCAAATCCTTAATGAAAACGATCAGTATGAGAAGCGACAAAACATTCCTTGGACCTCTAATGTTCACGCTGATAACTGATGGTTCCTGTACAAGACAGCTAATCGTCGATTCTCCATGGAGAGTCGGTGAAGCAGAAAAGACGGTGAACTAGAAAAATGGTTGAGTATTCCGTGCAGAGTCCTGTGAAAAGTCAATACCCCTCGACGATCAGGTGGTGACGTACGTCTTCACTTCACCTAAGTGGCCGGAGGAGCGCATATCCCATGGTAGCGATCTTGAGCAGGGCGGAAGAGGAATCCCAGTCGAACGGTGGTGGAGTAGCGCGGCATACGGTGAAATCGCGATCGCTGGTGATTTTCTCCCTGGGAGCTGCCTATCCCATGAGAGTCGTTTCTCTCAAAACTACCGACAAAGTAGAGTCGTAGAGGCCTGCGCCACGTCGTCGACGAAGACTGTCGGTTCGCCATTTAACCATGTGGAATACTCTATCAGTTTTCCACTCCATCACCACAAATCTGATACACCGGAACAGGAAAAGGTCATTAGAAAGTTCCCACCAGTTGAAATTCACCCATGAAGTGTTCTTTCCTTCGCCGCCCCTGGCTTTCAGTATACGGCTTGATATATCTCTAGTTGTATTGGATATCGCAGAAATTCAATTATTTGCTTCAGGTTGATTTTCCATCCTTCATTACCGGTGAACTGTCTGAACTGCGAACTTTAACCACCACCCTTATATCACCCTTTGAATTACCAGCTTTCTCTGCCAGGACATTTCTTGAAGTAAGTGCTCGACTGTTTTCCCAATCTACACTCCTGTTTTAACTTCATTCGTTTGTGCTTGTCTTTGTCGCCCACCCTTTGTTCTTAGAAACACGCTGCACATTACGAAAACCATTTTCTTTCCCACGTTCAGGAAGAGAGAAATTGAGCGTAAAGCTACTCGAACCAAGAAAGGTGCGCAATCATAGGTGGTGCAGTAAGTTCGGAATTGTCGCGTCGTGGCGAGTGAGACGCCGCGCGCGAAGGAATATAACGGATTGCAGCGGCAGCAATCACAGGAACAAAATAACTAGCATCAGGATCCTGCCAAAAATAATATTCGCGTATTGATTCAGCTGTATGAAGCATGCTAGAACCATAGTTAGTACCACCAGTCAATTAACTCATATTTTCAAGATTATCATTCAAGTAAGTTCACAACTTACTACTTGGTCAATAGGTTTTAGGTCCAGTTTTGCACAGTGGTGCCTTTGCTGTAACAAAGGAACTTTTTCTATGGAGGCTCCAAAAGTGGGGCATCGTCTACATAAAAATACCGAGTGAAGCGGTCGGCTCTCTCGGGGGAGTTAATGAGCACTTGCTCCACTTAGTAATTGCTGAATTAGGCGGGAATAATATGAAGATCGAATAGGATAAGCAAGTAGTGAATAGCCGATGAACAAATCAATGGCTGCTTTCATAGTTCGCTGGCAGGCCCGCGAGCAAGCGAGCAATGGATCC